GTATTAAAACCATACCAATTATGTGCAAACACCACGGTGTATCCATTTGATTTATGTTTCTACTTATTTCAACACTCTTGCTTTCCTGCACAGAAATGTTCTGATTATTTTAAAATTCCTTCTTTTATGCAAAAAAAAAATCTCAGATCTGAAGTGAACACTGTTTACTAATGTCTTAGAAAGTATTATCAATACCCATGTTTTCTTTGAAATGTTTGCTTTTCTATTTTCAGTTAGATACAGTACGTAAATGGGCTTAGTGAAATGTGTTCCCTGCCAAAAACAGCAGCAAGTCTTTACTCATCGTACAATTGATTTTTAAAATTCAGTAATTAACCTTGATCTGCCTTTTACTTTTTCAAGTTTCTTTTGTCTTGTTTGTTCATTTTAGTATTGTAAAATGGTTTTGATGCTCTTCCCAGATCCTCTATGGAGGAATCCTAGCTTCTCGTACAAAACTGCTGGCACTCTGCTTTTACCTGCTGTCACTGTGCTAATAAAATGTTCCTCCACTGTCCTGAAGCTTCCAATGTGGATATAGTCAAGGACAAGTGGATGCACTGGGACAGCACGCTGCTTCCCAGTTACTTTGCTCAGCTGGGTTTCTGTACAGCGAGCAGCAGAACCCGGTGAGAGAACCCTCGGGGTGTGTTAAGCCAAATGGTTTGGCCTGCTGAAGTCACAGGTGTGACATTACTGCATTACAGCTGGACGGAGGTTTCTGTCAGCCAACTGGGATGTGTCTGCATTTTCTCCTTTTACTTCCTGGACCCTGCCATACTGATAACCTCTGCAGTGTAGTTGCTATTAGCACATAGATGACTGGAAACACCAGTCAATCAGCTTTCCCTTTTCAGCTGCATAAAATAAACCACCATGAGCACTGATTGACTTCAGAAGCTCCTGAAGATCTAAGATGTACGTTAAGATGTGCTGTGTCCCGTGTCTAAAGCTAAACGTGTGAAGCTACCCCAGTTCTGTTCAAGGTTAAAGATAAGGGATGAACATACCTACCAGCACAGGTGAAAATACCTTTGATACCATGGCAGACTTCCGTGCTTATCTTTAGCCTACAATAACCTTGTTGTAGCGCTATTAAAAAGATATTTAAATCTCATGCACAAATTCAGGGAGGTGTCCTTACCTGGAATGCCGCTTATGTGCCCTTGGACTTTAGCACATTATTGAATTGAGTGTTTGTATTAGAATTGACTGTTCAAAGCTAAGACAGAGGCATTGTTTGCAGGATTTGTCTTCCTAATTTTAGGAAAACAAAACTGAGCTTGTTACATGCTTTGCAAGATTCAGAAATCTTGGTATTCTGTTCTAGTTGAGATCAGTTACAGGAAGGCAATAAACAGCCACAGTTATTAGTGCCATGCATGCCTCAGTGGTTTAATGTGCCTCATTACCCTGAGCAGGGAGTAGTGATTCCAAGCGAAGCTAATGGCAAGATCTTTTGCAGTTCGTGCGTATATATAGTTCTCTTTAAAGAAGGCAGTCTCCAGAAGAAAGTGTCTGTGTATGGCTAAGAGTGTAGCTTGTAATTAAAAATAAGAAGAGTAACTGCTAGAATATGGGGGTGCTTTCTTCCACCGTCTCTGGCACTCCTGATTTTCCTTTAACTCTTTTTTTTTTTTTTTTTTCTTGAGTAGGAAGGGATGTTAATTAGTTATTCTTCCAGAGCTCTTATATATTCCAAGAAATCTATTGTTAGTAATGGAAGCATTTATGATGATAGGAAGTTATGTGTGGATGGAGGTGAGATAAATAATTATTAGACTTTCAGTGTGAGTACGTTTAAAGATTGGCACTGTTTCTATTTAATTTCTATTGCCAGTGCAGAAAGTTATATTTATGTAAGTACTGGGGGATAACACAAGACTGTAGTTAAGCCAATTCGAGCATTACCTTATTAGATCTGCTGCACTCATAAATGTACAGTATGACAATGACAGTATGGTAAACAGAAGAAATACTGTAGTAGAGTTGAAGATGTATTTAAAAGATTTGAATGCTGTCTCTGAATCTGGCTGATTTTTATTTTCCTTTTTTTTTTCCCCTGGTTTTTAGTCAATGTAACTTCACTGGAATTTCCTAGTAGGATTTCTTCAGCACATCAAAGTTTTTGCCAGTTCCTCAAGGAGAGAGGAAACATTTATATTTATTTGTTTAGTTTGTAGTTTTGCCGTAGGTCCTCCTAGAAGAATCGTAGGATCACTTGAGTTGGAAGAGACCCTTTAAGGTCATTTAGTCCAACTCACCCGCAATGAGCAGGGACACCTACAGCTCAGTCAAATTGCTCAGAGCCCCATCCAGCCTGACCTTGAAAATCTCCACAGACGGGGCTTCCACCTCCTGTCTGGGCAGTCTGTGCCAGTGCCTCACCACCCTTATCATAAAAACAAAAAAAACCATAAAAGATTTCTTGCTACTTTGTCTTTTTCACCCCACAGTCCCAACCAGTTGGAGATAGAAGCCTTCAGAGAGGAGGCCCAGCTATGCAAGGCTATTGCTGGGGACAGACGTAGCGCTTCATGATTTATCTGAAGCTTCCTCCTCCTGGCCCTTCTTGCCTTGCCTGAGTTATATTCATGGAAATGCTCTGTGGTTCTTTGCAACCAAGCTACTGGAAGACACTGTTTTGGTTCTATGTGGATACTTAGAAGCCTAGAGCAATGCTTGCCGCGTGCATGCTAGAATTCATTTCAACTTAATGGCCATTTAGTATTTAGAGTATTTTAGCTTCCCGGTATTTCTGATTTTATCTTCATAGTTTGCTAAACTTATATCAATAATAAATTTTGATTATGACAGTGTCTTCTTACACAGCAAAGTACAGAAAGTTCAGTGCTGCTTTCCAAACTTTTTTCCCCCCAAAATATAACTAATAGATAGTACTACTTATTTATAAATAATCTACTGGCATGTTATTTCATGTTCCAATTTGTGTACAATTACATACTCATTAAGGGTGAGCAAATACTACATTCCTTTTGTCAAACCTATATTTCCCCACTGTCGAAACTGAGTAAGTAGGTCAAGACTCTTGCATTGGCTGAACTGAACGGAGACTTCAGTTCTGAAAGATGCAGATGTGGTTTTCTTCTTCTGGCCTGAAGAAATAGATAAGGGCATTTACAAGTGCTGACTTCTGTGGTTGTACTTGGTGATAACTGAGTATTGACATTTTATTTGCCAGAGATGTAGGATTTTTTGATTTTTTGATTTTTGTAAGCAAATAAAAATACCGTGAATTGGTGCTGGCTAAAATGTCATGCTGGCAGTGACACTGGTGGTTTTGAGTCACACTGACACTAGATATCCGAAATAATAGTAAAGAGAGAGACTGCAATGTTTTTATTCACCTGCATTTTCCATACTGACTTTTCCTCTAACGTAGTTGTACTGAAGGAATTTTATTTTATGCTATTGCCACTTAGGAAATGCCAATGGGATGACACTTTCTAGAGTTTAATTGTGAAGCACCATCAGTGGAAGAGGATTAATTCCCTCTGTCAAAAGCACTGAGTTACATCTTGGGATAACGTCTATTTATCTTAAGATTGTGAGCTCTTTCTCTGTTGCTTGCATTTTCCCAGAAGGAACATATAGAAGTTGGTCTGAAAGTTAAACCTCCACTGTTTTCTTGGCACTCGATGCTATCTGGCTTCTACAGAGGCAATAGCAATTTAAAGAAAGCTGCTCATCAGTTACTGTACGTTTAATTTACACTCCTGAATTCGTCTTCAAATTTTCAGCTGAGTCTTCACCATGTTTACATGTATTAATGCTCTATTTGGAATCTCTTGCTCTAAAACACTATGATCAGTGTCTTTCGGTCACCTAAATCATTTTCTAACTCCTGTTTCCACTTTATTCCTCTTCATTCTGAAGCAGAAAGCTAAAGGTTGGATTATGGCAGTGGAAACACAATTGCAAAAGAAAAGCATAAAAGAAGATAATGTATTTCTATATAGCATTTGATGAGATGTGTGTCAATAATTAGGTGTGTCAGTAATTTAGCTGCTTGGGATTCTGGCTCTGTAGCCTGGTGCCTCATGACACAGGCAAAAAAAAAAAAAAAAACAAGCAGCAGTACAGAACAATTTTAATGAATCCCCTCCTTTGTTTTTCAAAGCTTTTTTTTTTTTTTTTCTTTTTTTCCTACTAAAACTTATAAAAAATCCATTATTTACCTCGTGTTCAAGGCCAGGTGGGATGGGGCTCTGGGCAGCCTGGTCTGGTATTATATGCGGAGGTTGGTGGCCTGCGTGTGGCAGGCGGTTGGAGATTCATGATCCTTGAGGTCCCTTCCAACTTTGGCCATTCTGTAATTCTGTGAAATTCGGTGCTTCCTCTAATGCATTCCATTAGCAAAAAAATAATTTTTTAAGTAGTTGACCTTGGAAATTTGTTTCTGGGAGGAGGGACGATCTCTTCATATTATGTTGCATTGATTTGATGAACAGTAAAATATTTGTTGGTTATTACTGTGATGTTTGATTTGTATGGTAGCTTCCCTGAGGAAACAACATAGTTTTGAACAGTGTTCTGGAATCCTGCCTGTTCTCTTGATGTTATTATTCATGGAGTTGTCATGAGATCCAGTTCTCCAGTATTTCCTACAAAAGAATGTTACATAATTACAGTCTTCAGTGTGACAAGGAATCATCTACATGCATCACTTACTGGAAAATGTTGTGTTTACTGGGTAGCATCTTCCTTTGTAACTCAGAGTCTTTACTGACTTTTTCCTTATTAGTAGCATTATTCTCTAATTTGTGGCTTCAGTTCCAAGCCTTTACCCAGCTGTGCTCCTTAGATTCTACTTCTGAATTCTCTTCCAGGCTTCTTCATTCTATGAGTACACTTTGAGCAGCATCTTTGTTTCTATACACCTCATCATGTCTTCTTCTGGACTGTCTCCTGTTCTTAAGTTTTTGCTTTATACTATAATATTAACTGAGCTCTGAAAATACACTATGTTCTGTTTGCAGGAAATGACCTAGACATGTACCAACACCAGTTCCTGGAACTTCGTCAAAGACTATTGCATGCTGAAAAAGAAAATAAGAAAAGATCACGTGAGCTGAGCAGTGCCCTCAATGAAATAAAACATATAGTTGCAAAAAGAATTAACTCGACGACCAATCATACAGGTTTGTATGTGTAAAAAAACTGTATTGTATGTTAAAAATCAGATATTTTGTGTGCTTGTGTATCTTTAAAACTGGCATGAGAAGAAAAATCATTGATCAGTGGTATCAGCAGAGAAAAGTTGCTAACAAAAAGAAAAGCTGTGGTGAAGCAACCTGTAGCCTATCTTTAAATAGCATCTAACAAGTAGGGCATTTAAACAAATAAGGAACTAAGTAACTAAACAAGGGAGGAAAAAAAAGGAAACTGACTGCAGTGATGTAATGGGAAAGCACAAGTCAAACCTGTAATATTGTTATCTAGCTTTTTACAGTGTATGAACTCTTGCTGCCAACTACAGAGCACTGAATAAGCTGGTTTTTTTCCAGCTTTTATTATGTAATTACACTCTGATAGTACTGGGACTGTGTCTAACCTGGAAAGCTGGTACACCTCCTCCCTCACGTGTTCCACCATCCTTGGAAGTGAAGTCAGTTTTAGAAAAGAAAGGAAAACCTTTGAGGAGGCGATGCTGTACATTGAAGTTTTCTTGCTTTTCTTTTTGAAGAGCAACACCAAAATGAAATTAATTTGGCTCTAGTTACCTGGCTTCTTCCCATTGTTTAATTAAACATATTAGATCATTGTCTTACAGGCTATTGTACATCACCATCTGCAGACTGGTAGTTACGTACAACAATCAGACAAATCAGTTCTCTTCCCTAAAAGAAATGCTGTAGGATCTGCCTTCCTTCCTGTTTAGGGGTAGAAAAGCTACATCCCTGGGGAGAGAAGGAAAATCACAAAGGGAGTCTCTGCCCTGGAAGCATTCCACAGTACGCTTTGGCTTGAAAAAGAGTCTGAGTGCTGCTGTAAACTATTTCTTTAAGATCCTTGTTTGTATTCAGTACAACAGATGGGTATCTGATTAGAATAGAGAATTATCCAGGACTGGTACGGGAAAAAAGAACAAAATGCATTCCTGGTTTGTGGAGTCAGCTTGATTTTTGTTGTTGTTGTTTTTTTTTTTTTATCTTGTTATTCCCTGTCTCTTTTTGGTTGTTTTTTCAATATTAATGTAGAGGGACTGTTCAGATGCATCTAAGCAAATGCTTCACTGTGGCTAAGCCATCAGAATGTCAGACTAGAAATTGCCTTGTCAGCTACTAACAGTACAGCAGACTGCATACAAAAACCTAATGCACACAGCAGCAGCAGAGGGAAATGCAAGTCTCTCTTCCGTCTGTTCTTTATTCCTGTTGAAAACAGGCAAGTGTTAAAGTTGTCCATTCATAGTATTCAAAGCAGCAATTTCTTAAAATTGCCAAATGTTCTTAATTTTTACTTTTTTGCTGATATTTTAGTTCATTTCTTTCTTTCATTGCGCACAATCCAACTGAAGTCCCCTGTGCAGCCCTTGATAGATACTAATTCCTAATAGAAATGGAAAGTCCTATAAAGTTGCAAAGGTATTTAAACGGCAACAAAAAAAAGTTGATATGCCCCAAAATTCTGGTATGTTTAATGCGAAGCAAGGTAAAGGACTTGTGTGTCTCTTTTTCGTACCCAAATACTTGGAGGTAGATATTTCTGTTTGTGTGGTTGTTTGTGGGGTGTTCTGTTGTTGTTGTTTGCTTATTTTGCTTTTGTTGTTGGATTTTGTTTTGTTTAATTAAACAGTAAGACGGGGAATCCCTGCTGATTTCCTACTTTTACGTGGGACTGTCTTCTGAATATTGAAATACTTCAAACATTCGGCCCTTTGGGAAGTCTTCACTGAGCAAAGATGAATGAGTAAAGCAGGTTATAGTGATTTGTAGGGCTTGTATTAAGTAGTTTTGAACACCGGAAAATTTGAGGCCTTACATTAGGTGCATTTCTTTCATAACTTGCTAAGTCACTAAGCTTTCTGTTGCCCTGCTGCAGACTCTATAGGTTTTCAGTTCTTCTGCAGCTTGGAAGGGTGCTAATGTAATGTTGTTTACAAAAAGTAGTGAAGGTGTTGCTCTGATACTGTGAAGCACATGAGCACCAGCCACTCTGCAAAACTGCTGAAGTATCTTGAGGAGGCAGCCTCTGAAAGTAAGATCTACCATCTATAAATTCATAGGAGGGGCTTTCTTTCACTTTTCTTTCAACGATGAAATGTAGTCTTTGTTTCAGTCCATTCAAATACCTCTTTTTTTAATTTTTTTAATTGCATCATACATATCCTGTCAGCTCCTGTGGATATCTTACAGTCAGCATAGTTTTCTTCTGTCAGCTTATAAGTACATCCGCAATGATTTTAGAATTCAGTTGTTCACTTTTTATTCAATTTATTTTAAAGACTGTTTACCACCACTGGATCACTCAGGAATGCACATATGAAGGAAAAGAAACCAGGAAATGAATGGTATCTGTGGGGAGGGTTGTGCTGTGCTGTTCTCCACTGGTGTTCCACAGGAGGGGCTCATGGTGACTGCAGTGCGTGAGTGCTGATGCATGCTACTGCACACTCATCTGTGGGATCTTGGCACGTCCATTTCTCAGATAGATCAGAGAAACTGCAAAAGTTCCATGAGTCTAAAACAGGACTCGACTACCAGGCAGGGCAATTATTAATCATTGTGCGGTGTGTTACAAATAATCATTTTTGACAAATGATTCTGATGGAATAAACTCGTGTGTGGTAATCAGCTAAAATAACAGCTAGTTCAGATAGGTGAAATAATAGCTGCCAGTTTTATTTTTTATATTTACCTGTGGTTTTGTTGTTTCTTTCAGATGGTATGAAAGTATTAAATGACACCAGAAAACTCCCCGTGCATCTTACAAACCTGTACTACTACCTACCTCACCTCCAAGAATATGAAGATGCCATTTTTCCAAATGTTGTTATTGGACAGCAGAGAACTGGAGGTAAGAAATAAAGTTCAGTTTGTGTTTTATACATACATTCTATTCATAGTTTGTACTAAATTCTAGCTATGACACATGCTCAAAGTTGGGAGGGATTTTTCTCTGAAGATTTTATAAACTTGCCAAACTGAATAAATGGAAATGGCAAAAGGACTTCTGTCACGCCCATCCTAATTTCAAGTCCTTACCCCAAAGTACTCTGGTAAGCTTTTTAAAATGTCAACAAAAATAATCATAATTGATAAACAATATTCTTTCATGTTTAGTCACATTTTCATATAGCTGAGAAGCTTTGCTGGACATTTTTTTTCCCCGCATGTATGGGGCTGCTGTATCATGGCCTGAACCTCTGATTAATCACCTGAGGCAAGCACTGAGTCAGCCATGGGAGCACAGGTGAAGGCAATTCACCTGTGCTGCAGGAAGGGGTGGAGCCTGGCTGCACCCCTCCTAGGCCCATTTAAGAACTGACTGTCAGTGGGGAAGGGTCTCTTCTGGAGAGCCACTCCATTGGAGTTTATTACGCAAGCTCAGGATAGGGTGAGTGTTGGTTTTTTTTTTTTTTGTCCTTACTCTATTTTCATAATTAGGTCAGGCAAGCTCCTGGATATACTATATCATCTGTGTTTTCATTGACTGTACAATTGGCAAGCCAGGCAGGCCAAATATATTCTTTATCATGGCTTTTTTGTGGAACATCTATAAATGGGTCAAAGGGGAGAACATCATTCCCCTAGATAAAATAATCCTTGAACAGATCCTAGGCTTTCTGGCATCTCCTTATTACCAGTTAGCAACCATAGTTGAGATATGGGGTCCCCTGTGTACTTTAGGGAATATTTCCCCATTCCGCTTGGCAGAATACTTTAAAGGGTAAGATAGAGATAGCCTAACCACAAAAGAAAGGCAGTTAGCTGCATCCACAGTGGCATGGCCACTGTTAAATGCCTTAAATCAAGCTGAGATAATATCAGACACCTTAGAAAGTGAAAATCAGCTATTAAAAGCTCATACCGAGAAATTGGAACAGGAACTTAATGTATTAACAGGGTAAAAAACAATTTTACAGTCCCTAGGTCAGGTCTGCAGTCTTTCAGTAGATAATAACCACACCTCTGAAGTAATGGGCTTGGTTGAACAGGAAAACAAAAGCTCTAAGTCAGATCTAGAGGTTCCACTTCGGGTGGATTCCTTGGATCTCTGTCCTATTATAACCCAAAAGACGAAAAAAGTGCAAGAGAGACCAGCAGGGATGCCGCCTGACCAATGGCCCCCTGCCAAAACGCATTTACATGCAACGGCTAGGCCATATGCACCGACAGAACTGATGGATATGGTACAGCGATTTTGGCAGAGAGCAAGAGAGAGTGTACCTGCATGGTTGCTTAGGTTATGGGATTCAGGAGCAGAAAGCGTCATGGTTAATGGACCAGGAATATGAAAGCTGGCCACCATAATGGTACGCCCTGCTGTCAGGCAGAGACTATACGCTGCTGTCCAGTTTAGCAATGAGAATCATTCAATAATAGACTGGTTAATAGCAGCATGCCGCATGGTTTGGCCAAACAAAACAGATATTCTATTAAACACAGGATTATGGTCCTCCATGGAGGATCTTCAAAATTATATTCGTCAATTAGGCATGAGAGAAGCTATATACGAGGACTCATTTGATAGCCCGGATATGGTGAAGTTTTCAGCAGGCATGTGAGATTTAATTTTACAGCAGGCCCCTTCTGACCTTTATGGGACCTTAGTCTCTGTATTAAACTGTCTGGTGACCTCAGAAGCTGTGGTTCAATAGGTTGCCCAGTTAGTAGCTGATCTGGGGGAGAAAGAGCGTTTACGCACTCGGTGCAGTATCCCAGTAGTGGAAGAAGCAGAAGTGCTTCCAGTAGTTTAAACCAAGAGGCCACCCATGCAGAGCTTTCAGTTGGGGCCTGTAAGGGTCTTGTGAAAACAAACGTTTAACAGCCTTACTCGGGCTGGTGTCCAATTTGCGAAGGTCGACTGCCAGCCCAATAACATCCTCCTTCAGCTGTGGAGACAGCTGAAGGATAATCAGAGATTCCAAAACTACCCTAAGAAACCGAGGGTGAGAGTTATAGGAACTGTGCCGACAACAACATGGAATTTAGAGGATTTCATTAATCCCAATAGAAAAAAGAGGTCCCCTCAGGTGCTTCAGGCTACAATGCCTGAGGCACCTGAAGCAGAAGACTTGACTTTGGCCCAGTTCATGATGTGACGAGGGATATTAGTCCCCCTAGTGCCTCCAGACGGGACCAGAGGCCCTATGTAGAGTTAATGATATTCTGGTCCCGGAAAAATGTCCATAGAGTTATGGCACTTGTTGATACTGGAGCAGAAACATCAATTATTTACGGAGATTCGAACAAATTTCATGGAGACAGAGTGATGATTGGTGGTTTTGGGGGACAAACTATTCCTGTCACCCAAACATGGTTAAAATTGGGAGTTGGGCGTCTCCCACCCCAGGAGTATAAGGTATCTATTGCCCCACTTCAGGAATACATCTTGGGCATAGATATTCTATACGGTTTGGCTCTCCAGACAACCGTGGGAGAGTTCAGACTTCAACAAGCGCCGGCTTACTAACGTCAGACAGTGTAGGCTCCCGAGTGGGCAGGATGAGATATCAGAAACAGTGCAGGAATTAGAAAAAGTGGGCATTATAAGACCTACTCACAGCCCATAGAATTCCCCCATACGCCAGTGCAGAAGTCGGATGGCACGTGGAGAATGATGGTAGGTTACAGAGAATTAAATAAGGTCACGCCGCCTATTCATGCAGCCGTACCCAATATTGCCTCCCTAATGTACACATTGAGAAGGGAGATAAAAGCCTACTATTGTGTTCTAGATTTAGCAAATGCATTCTTCAGTATCCCAATTGCTGAAGAATCGCAAGATCAGTTTGCGTTTACGTGGGGAGGCAGGCAGTGGACCTTTCAGGTCCTGCCACAGAGGTATGTGCATTCACCAACATATTGTTGTAATCTAGTGGCGCGTGACCTGGCTGATTGGAAAAAAAATGATAATGTTAACTTATATCATTATATTGATGATCTCCTGCTGACATCTGACTCACTGGAGGCAATAGGACAGGCGGCGGAGTCATTAATCACCTATCTACAACAGAAGGGATGGGCTATAAATCCCCAAAAGGTGCAAGGTCTGGGCCTATCTGTAAAATTCCTGGGGGTGGTTTGGTCAGGAAAGACCAAAGTGCTACCCAGTACTGTTATAGATACGGTTCAGGCATTCCCAGTCCCTACAACATCGAAGCAGCTGCAAGAGTTTCTAGGTATATTGAGTTATTGGCGTTCCTTTATACCCCACCTAGCACAGCTGGTAAGGCCACTATATAGACTCACGAAAAAGGGGCACCTATTGGACTGGGGGAAAACAGAACTAGACACTTTCCAACAGGTGAAACTGGCAGTTAAACAAGCCCAGGCATTGGGTATATTCGATCCTACCCTCCCAGCTGAGTCGGACGTTCATGTTACTCAAGACAGCTTTGGTTGGGGCCTGTGGCAACGCCAGAGTTCTGTTCAGACCCCATTGGTTTCTGGTCTCAGGTTTGGCACGGAGCAGAAGGAAGATACAGTGTGATTGAAAAACAGTTATTGGCTGCGTATTCAGCATTACAGGCAGTAGAGCCAATAACTCAAATGGTTGAAGTTATAGTCAAGACCACTGTACCGATTCAGGGATGGGTGAAAGATCTGACCCACCTTCCTAAGACAGGGGTGGCTCAAGCACAAACAGTGGCACGATGGGTTGCCTACCTCAGCCAAAGGAGCAGTCTGTCTTCATCACCCTTGAAAGAAGAACTCCAGAAGATCCTAGGCCCAGTTACGTATCACAGTGATACACCAAAAGAAATACTGGTCGCTCCACCAGAGAAGAGTCCCGTTCAGGAGGGAAAACATCCTATCCCTGAAGATGCCTGGTACACAGATGGGTCCAGCAAGGGCAACCCAAGCAAGTGGAGAGCAATAACGTACCATCCCTCTACTAAGACAATCTGGTTTGATGAGGGGAGATGGTCAGAGCAGCCAATGGGCAGAACTGCGAGTCGTGTAGATGGTTATAACCAAGGAACCCGGTGATGGTATCCTGAACATCTGCGCAGGTAGTTGGGCTGTGTACCGGGGGCTCACTCTTTGGATTGCACAGAGGGCTACCCAGGAGTGGACTATTCATGCCTGGCCGATCTGGGGCAAGGACACGTGGTTAGATATATGGAATACGGTCAAACACAGGACTGTACGTGTCTACCATGTTTCTGGTCATCAGCCCCTACAGTCACCGGGAAATGATGAAGCCAACACGCTGGCCCGAGTTCGATGGATTGAGAATTCACCATCTGAGAACATCGCCCGCTGGTTACATCAGAAGCTACGGCATGCTGGACAAAAGACAATGTGGGCAGCTGCTAAAGCATGGGGACTGCCCATACAGCTACCTGACATCGTCCAGGCATGCTGGGACTGCGGCCCTTGCTTCAAGATAAGACCAAGAGCGTTGCCCGAAACAGCAGCCCATCTTACTAGAGGACACAATCCTCTCCAGCGATGGCAGGTCAATTACATCGGGCCCCTTCCTTGCTCCGAGGGGGCGAGGCGTGCCCTGACCTGCATTGTCACTGCAAGTGGGCTACTGCAGACCTATCCAGTACTGAAAGCAAACCAGGCATACACCATCAAGGTACTTACTAAACTGATGTCTGCCTATGGGACACCTCAAGTCATTGAGAGTGACCAAGGGACTCATTTTATTGATGCTATGATACAGCGCTGGGCAGAAGAAAATAACAATGAATGGCGATTCCACCTGCCGTATAATCCAACGGGGGCAGGCCTCATCGAACATTACAACGCTATTCTTAAGGCTGCCCTGAGGACAGACTCCAAGTCCCTTCAGGGGTGGACAAAAAGACTGTATGAAACCCTGCGGGACCTGAATGAAAGACCCTGAGACGGCAGACCCAGTGCCCTCAGAATGCAGCAGACAACATGGAGGCAACAATTCAGTCTAACTGTTTCATCCATCTGAGCAATCCACTGATGACTGCACAAATTGTAATGAGTTGCAGTGAACTGTAATACAAATTTCTAAGTTGCATCTTCTCCTAATAGTTAAGCTGTAAGTAAAAAGGGTAGTCAAAGGCAGAAAGCAAGCAATGAATTAACAAGCTATTTTACTATTGTGTATTTTTTATTTTGATTTTGATTTTTCTGTGGGGCTGATTTAATGTGAAGAAACATTGGCAGCACTTCCAATTTGATTCAGAAATGACTTGGCAGGGCCCGTGACAATGGATAACTTTCTACAGTCTTCTCACTAGAAGGTGTAGTTGGAGCAGCGTGGTTTAGTACTGTAGTTCTCACTGGAGTGCTCACAGGTCTGTGTGAGTCTGCAGAAGGCCAGAAGTAGTCAGCTATAAGCTGTGAAAAAACGCTCTACTTTGAATTTTTAGTTCTTTCTAAGTGAAAATCACAATAGCAAGACTGCAGTCAGGTTGTGTGCATGTTGACCTTCATAGTGTAAGAACAAACAAAAGCCTAGTGTTTAGCTAGCTGTGTGCTGGGAAGGAACATGGAACATCTGTGTTTTTAAGTTGATGCTGGCCCTGATGATGCAGTCTGGAGCAGGTCACTAATAGAACCTATTCCTTTCTTTCAGAACCCTTAACTTCCATGCCAACCTCCTATGTTTGTGGCTTTTTTGTTGTTGTTGTTTTTGTTTTGTTTTGTTTTGTGAAAAGGAATATTCTGCAACGACTAAGAATTCCCTAGGTTTATTGAGCTGTATTAGGCCACTGAACTCACTAATGCTCTCACCAATAAAAAAAGGAGAAGTCCTTCTTACAGTCTAGTGTTATAACACTGTTCCACTACAAGGTCAGTCTTTGTCAGAGTCAATTTAAGTTCCTTTCTTCTTAATAATGATTATGCATACATTTATTTGTTCTTCTCGCTACATTAAAGCTATTAATTAGTAACAGTTAAACTACTCAAGATTTTTTTTAATGTGGATTTCTTTTTGAGATAGCCACCTTCGTGACCTGTGAGAACTTTCTCACTGAAGCAGTGTAGTTTTAATTCTTGTTACTCAGATCTCAAACTCCATACCAAAAATTGGTATTTATTTTGCAGTACCCACTTCTGAAACTCCGTAGCAGATATGTGTTTGCCAGAAATAGCATTGTATTACCAAATATTTGTCATCTATGTAGCAGCAACTGGTGCTTATAACACAGGCATAGGTATCTCTAACCTAAGCATACGTGGATATATTTCTTCCTGGTAGCAAGGCAAATGCTGTCATACTCTTATAGCAGTACTGAATCTCACCACATAAACCAATCAATGAATGTTCACAGTAGTGATTATCTTCTAACATTATAGTTCCATTCAGATGACCCGAAGTTATCTAAACCAGAATTAAAATGGAATTTACGGTCACTCAACATAAGATGCCTTGACTTTTCATTTCTGTCTTTGCAGTCTCACTGGTGATGGGTGTTCCTACTGTGAAAAGGGAAAAACAAAGTTACCTGATGAGCACGCTTCGTTCCCTATTGCATGGACTTTCTGAAAAGCAGAAGAATGACTGTGTAATCATCATCTTTGTAGCGGAGGTAAGTTTGTGTGAGAAGCTTCAGGGTGCTAATAGAAAGACAACATGGAAATTCTTGTGTTAGTATGAAAGTGTAGAAAGTGTTGCTAAGTAGCGCCTTCAGCTTTGTGAAGGATTTCTTCAGTGCTGGACGAGGCAGTCTTCATATGTGGATAATACTGTAACTCAGATGTCTGAAGGGGGAAAAATGCTCATATTACATTTATAAACGCAGCTGATGCAATCAAGTTTGGTATAAAAATCATACAAACTTATTGTTTTATTGGAAAATTGTAGGCTACTGAAAGTATGAAAAGCAAGTTCTTCACAAGACGATTCCACATGAAGATAGTACATTTATTCTGTATAACAAAAAAACACAGCTTATTTATCTTCTGTTTTGACATCATATATATATATATACCTTAGCATATACCTTAGCACGTTGGAGACTTTTTTGTTAAAAAAAAGTTGTTTTAAATTGTTCAGAAACAAGAATATTCCAGATTTGGAAAAGTGAACAGTTCTCAAGGTAAAGTACTAGTGGCAAGTGATTTGCTTTTTCATTTCAATTTGTCTTGAGCACAGAGGAAGGAAATAGAGATCTGTTGATGTTTGCCAGCAGGTGAAAGGCTGCAGTTACTCGAAAGTTATTCTTAATAGTTCTTTGTCCCTCCATAGAAGACATTACATTTCTCAAATGAACTGAATGTATTCATAATTAACATCTTCTCAGTGAATACATGGATACTCATTAAGAGTTAAAGTTTATTTTTCAGTTGAGTAACAATTTACAATAGCTTTAACTACTGTAATACTGTCAACAGAAATTGCCCTGCAGTCTACACTTGAGATAAATCTGAACTGCCATTTAGATAAACCTTCTATTACAGTCCTTCAGAGAGTTATTTGGTTTTTTTTAAGAGTTAACTTCTGAAATTATACAGTTTGTCTCTGTGGACAGTTGTAAAAGTGCTTTTTTTTTAACAAACAGTAGCTTAGGTTTTACTAACAGTCCAGTTCAGCTTATTGAAGATGAAACTGCTGCTGCAAGAGTCAGTCTCTCCCCTTTCTCTCATCCCCAAAGTCAGGTTCATGCAACTTTCGTTTTTAAGCCATGCAGTAAATCTCAGTAGGTGAACTGTACTGATATGAGAGGTGATAAGAACATGTACTTATAGGAGAAGGGCAGGTGTGTTCATTGATCACGAATGCACACCTTCCTTATTCCCACAAAGCTTCCAAAGATCAAGATGAATGTTTACATGCCTGGATTAACTCAGAGTAATTTACTGCCTGCAAGTGCTGGTGTGTGTTGTTGTTTTTTTTCTTATCACATTTTTTTTCCCCTTCTTACTACAGTTTTGTTGTATAGCCGGTAATGATCATTTCTGTATTACAGAAAAAAAAATTATCTTAACTGCTAAGACAGGTATTGTATGGCCTTTGGGAACACATTCATTAAATTCGGCACTACATAATGTACGTTGGTCACTCCAAAAGTAATGCCTCCTATTTATTTCCATGGAAACTTCAACAGATACAAAGAATTCAATACCACTGTTTGATGGAGAAAACTCTCAGCTACAAAACCCTGATTTTCAGCATAGAGCCCACCATTAGCTATGCATTCTCATAAAATCTGCACCAGTGGAGGCAACCCGCTGTCGCCACTGCTGAGAACGCACCACCCACCATCGTCTTCTGTTTGGTTTCCATAAACGTTCAGCAGGCACGGATGCATGTGCAGTTTTTTCCTTACGGGGGAGTTCAGTAGCATCCTTTTGGTTCATACGTCCTTCTGTATCAGACACTGTTTTGTCAGAGCGCCTCTCTACTGCCATCTGTTGCACAGCAACAACATGTAATGGCTCTACTGCCATACCACTAACATCTGTCCTTGATGCCATGGGCCAACATAATAAAATGGGAGGCACTACTTTTGGAGCAGCCTCATATTTAACAGATGTGTTTTCCATACCAGAACTGTTAATTTCATGAAATAGGAGCACCAAACCAGCATATCCTCAAAGTTTTCAGACTAAGAGCCATAAGTTTGTTATACAAAGAAGAAACTAAATAAACATTTGAAGCGTTGTTAGCTTTATAAAATCTTACTTAGGCAACTTTTCTCAACAGCCACAGGCCTTTTTTATGATATTTGGATGATTGATCCCAAATAATTCCTTTTAGTGACAGTTATACAGCTGTTCTTTTCTGGTGTGAGTGAAAGCTGTAGAGCAGTTTCTGCAGAAAATAGCTTGGCTGTTTGCAGAAGTAATGAACAAACAAAATGTCATACTGCCCTGTAGTGGAAATACAACTGTAACACATTGCTCTCATTTCTAATGAAATACATTAGAGAGTAGAAATGAAGTGCTTTCATGTAAGTATTTCCTTCAAAATGTTGCTTAATGCTTAATGCAAAAATGAGTGACTTGAAATGAAAGCCCTCCTCTTTTCTTTAGGTGAATGCAGAATATGTTAACGGTGTTGCAGAAAGTATTAAAACCGGGTAAGTCCTGTGCAGTGCGACATTCAGCAGCTGATAGGCAAGTTGTGAGTTCTTATGGGAAGAATTAGAGCATTTCAGCAGTAAATTATAGTACTACCATGCTGAAATGGAACTGCTAAGAAATGAGACAAAGGTGCAGTCTTAGTACGTGTATCATAAATTCAGAGCACAAGGATATATATTAGTTTATTTTCCTTTTTATGTTCATAAATATGCTTTAAATAATCAAATGAGGTCTCAGCTCAAGTCTCTCGACAAATATTTACTTGAACCTAAGTCTTTTCTCTGTAAACATAATGATGCACTTGTAACCACTTGGGGCTACATGTATTCAGTCCCCCCTGACTTCATAGCCCTACAGTCCTGATGTTTATCATATTTTCTGGTGATTTTGTTTCCTTGTTAGCCCCTATTTCATGAAGGCAGTGGATTTGGGGCAGCAATCAGATTATAACATGATGTGAAGCACTAGTAAATGATGGGTAACATGAGACAGATTTTCTTAGCCATGCAAAATTAACATTAGCATTAACAAAAGAAGGCTTGGATCCTAGTGCAGTTTTGCTTTGCGTTCTTTCACATAGACATTTACAGCTGTGAAAAACCTTAGAGCAGCTTGAGACAAACACTACTAGAAAGCAGTGCTGGCGTAGAAGAACGCATTCATTGGTAGATTCATTTGGTCTGATGAAAGGGGCTTTCTAAGAAGCGGTGTAGCGTAGCTAACGGTCACAACACAGGTAAGGCTGAAAGCCCTGAACTGCAGTTATCTGAAAGAAAGCAGGAGATGATAAATGCTTTTTCAGTGACTTGTAAGATGAAGAACAGAGCTGAGACCTAAACCTCCATGCCAGACCTCCATAAAAGACAGTGTCATTTCAGTTGGGATGTAAAAGTAGATTGAGGAAGAGTAACGAACATGGTAGTTCTTGCACAGTTGCTGTAATTCTAGATAGTTAATTTTGTTGTTAATTACTGCTACATTTTTATATGTTTTTCAATTCAGTATTTTCTTTCATGTTTTCTGTTACTTGAAAGAGATACTGTACTGCATGTTCTAATGGTTGTCAAGGATCTCATCTTGGTTCCTAATGCCCCTACTTGGCAATATGTGTGATTATGTTCTTTGCTAGACTTGTGAATTCCACTTCTGGAGATGCAGATGGAATTTTTGGGAGCCACTGTGTGTGGTTACAGACAAAAATTTTTTTGAAAAATGGAGTCTCTCTAAACTTTTCTTCATAGCTTCCCCAGAGAGGTGCAGTCTGGAGTCCTAGAGATTATTTCTCCTCCTGCTTCTTATTATCCAGATCTTTCCAACGTGAAGAAAACATTTGGGGATTCGGAGGACAGAGTAAGGTAAGACAGCTTCAATAAAACCTAAGTGCTCTTTTCTATGAGTATGAAATGGGAAACTATTCAAGTCAGTGTTGTTTGAGGTGATATGGTTTTTGTATTTCAGAGCTAATGGACCTCAAGTGTACTCTTCCCCCCTCCTTAACCCCCTCAATTTATGTACTTATTTATTTATTTGAAACATTATAGAAGGAGTTCTTGTTAAGAGCTAATGCTGTACCTGGGCTCCATAGTGACAGCCAGGGCTTCTCCTTTGTGTCCTGTCTCTGGGCATCCCGTAGGTTTTAAAGCTGATAATTCCAAGAGATGATAGGCTAGATAATCAATTGATAAAGGAAAAACAAACAAGGGAGAGGATCTGAGAATGCACAAAGAAAAGCCCGTGTGCCTCCTTTAATAACTAGTAACAATAAGTGTGGGTTTAATTAATGACCTAAGTTGCGATGATGGACGTTTCTTAGTACTGTTAATGATTTAACTTCTGGGGAGTTCGTTCAAATTCACTAAAGCTGGGATTATAACCTAACAAAATTGATCAACTGGAGGAAAATAATTTTCTTTTGACCAACAATAACTGTAATTTATGCGTAAAAGCAGTAGGGTGCCTAAGAGCTACTTAAACAAGAGGTGTGCAGTGCTTAGAGTTTAGAGTTGATTGAACTCAACAAGTGTAAGGGATTTATAGATAAACCTTTTGTTTTCCAGAGCATAAGCATTCTTATGTACTTAAGTTTCAGGTATGACTAGTTTTGAATCAGGTACACTGGGAGTGCACTTCGGTGTTAATTGTTCTATGTACTGATACTTGGCACTGAATATTGAGTACCAGCTTCTTCCCTTGGTGAAATGAGATGCTGTACTTCACAGAGAAAAATCTGTGTTTGCATTTAAATCAGAAAATGTATTTTTTTTGTTTTTTCAGAATCAAAAAATTTTGCCTACCTGCTTCTCTATTCTCGATCAGTAAAAGCACTCAGTTTTATAATATTGTGAATGATCTTTAAATAGTAACTGTGTATTGACCTCTACTGTTCATAATGCAGTGAATAGGCTCCTTAAGTCATTTGAAATGAACCTACTGGTTAAACATCTAGAACGTTTATTTTCAGGATGACTTGATACAGATTTGAATGTTTTGCTTAGTTAACATCAACTTCTATGGGGAATTCAAATTATTTGCTGATCCACACCAATTAAAAGAAAATTTTTAGACCAAAAATACTACTTGATTTCTTCTTGTTCACTTATCAATGAGTTAGAATACTCAACCTTATGATTTTATTGCTCTAATGCTTTTACTATACAAGTAACTTTTGGAAATGACCCAAGAGGATTTTCAGAATGTACTGCTTATATTTAGGTGGAGAACGAAACAGAATTTGGATTATAGCTTTTTAATGCTGTATGCTCAACCTAAGGGAACATTTTATTTACAGGTATGTTCACATGATCATTAAGCAGCTACAACACATCTCTATTGATTATTAACTTTTGACTTCTTGTTTCCTAAGTCTTCAATAAAAATGTTGTTTCCTGTGTTTTTTTTGTGTTCTTTAGAAACATCTATATATTTCTGTGTTTGCATACGTATCTTGCAGCTACGTGTTTCATTATTTCCTTAAATCCCTTTGTACCTCCATGACATGTGATGATAAGGTATCTGAAGCATTAGGTGAAGAGAGTCAGAGTTGAGAGTATTTTCATTTGGTGCAGAATAATGGTAATAAGTCCAGGTTATAGCCCAGATCATGAAGAACCGAAAGACCTTAGATGACTTTTCCAGATAAGGAAATATTGCGGTGTAGAGACACCAGTGACAAGGTTATGCGGCAGGTTTGTATGAATCCTTAATTCATCAGATGATTTAGTGTTAGATTATAAGATCCCCATGCATTCATACGTTCCCCATGCATGCACTTAGGTTTAGCCATCATCCTGGATCTGCGTTCCACAGTGCCAAAGCTGTAGAACACTGCTGTGACTTAGGCAGCTTTTGTAGAACCATGAGATAAAAAAAAAAAAAAAGAACACAGGAACAACAGGAATGGTGGCAGTTCTGAGAAGCGAGTTTTCAACCCAGAAAGTTCAGATGAAGACTTACTTGGTTTGATTGTAGTGAAATTATGCTGACGTTTTCTTAATAAGAACATTTTGAAGTAATGGTTTTCACTGTATTTCCTGGAATTTACCAGGGCCAGTTGAGACACTGAAATAATATCACAGCCAAGTTCATGGGATTTTAGCCTAGCTAAAAATCAGGCATCCAAATCCAGGACTAGTTGTGAGGAGATGTATTTGTTCTTTGTGTTCCTGTAGACTGAGTTCATTCTGAAACATCTTACATATGAAAGCATTTTTGCAGCAATTGTAGGGAAGTGTTTTCTATCAACATTCGCGTGAGCAAACATAAAACATTAGAACAATTAGAATCCCTAGTTAAAATCTGTTATAAACTTGGGACTCAGTTAATTGAATTATTGCTAAGGTGTTTGTCTGTTTGTTTGTTTTGCTTCATAAGGTTTTCCTCAGGGAGACTGGGGAGCTGCATTGTGTCTTTACATACGACATACAGAGATATGTAGGCTGTTGTCTAGCCTCCTATTTTGTAGAGCTTTAAGTTGAGTAACTTTCATGAAAGTGTATTTTTATCTGACATTTTCTTCATACTAAAAACCCAGGATTTTAATAAATCAACTATTTCTGTACAAAATGAGAGAGTGAGATTTTTCAGCGTAGCAATCTTCAGATTTGCTGAGCAGTGATTCAAACAGAAAAATACAGTAGTATAATTTAGAAAGGAAGATGCATTCCTGTCAGATGCCTGCACTGCCCTTATACGCTACAGCTCTTGTTGCTTCTTATTTCTATCTTCTCTTAGGCAGCTCTTGGATGGCAACTGGGCAAAATGAACTAGACAGTTTTTATCTCCAACTTCCTGATCAAGCTCTGTATTGCCACTTTATAGCTTCCTTTTGCAGATAAGAGCATGTGAAGAACAAGTGGCTGTAAGCTGAAACCAGAAAAGTCCGAAGTAGAATGTAGATGCAGTCTATTAAAGGTAATTGCGTAGAAAGTAATTCTTTACAGAATTACTGTAAAGAATAACAGATACTGAAATCCCTACGCAATGGCAAACGCTCTTCAAGAAGGTATGCTTAGTGGAACACAAATCATGGGCTCAGATAAATTACAGTTAATTTACTTTTTTTAGCATGTGCTACATAGGAGATCGAATGATATTGTCTAATGATCCCTGTCAACTGTCAGCTCTGGAAGAGGCCGTTTCAGACCTCTCCCTAGTCAAAGCTACATTCACAACCACTTTGCATTCCAGCCTCTATATTTTTATTCTGTATGTTTTCTTCTGGTGTTTCTCAGTATGGAGGTTTTTGTGAGATATGAAGGTATTTTTGAGATACTTGTCTCTGCCTTTTACTTATTTGTGTTCACTCAATTTGTCTTTGAGGATTCTCTGAAACTCTCTTTGATTCCCTGCTCTGCTCCCTTTACATTTAGTGTTAGTGGTGGTTTGGGTTTGGTTGGTTTGGTTTTTTTTGTGTTGTTGTTTTCTCTTCCATATTACTGTCTCCTTAACTCCACCTCAGATCTTGTTATTAACAGTTAACTTTGACCTCAGTTCTTCTGTATTTTTGTAACTTACCGTCAGCATAAGCTGGCAGGATCAAAGCAGATCTCTTCATCTTGTCTTTCAATTTTGTTCTACTTCCTCCTTTTTGCACTGTTGGTGACCCATTTCTCCCTCCCCAGCCTTACACTTGTATACTTCTAATGACCAAATTCAGCTTAAAGCTGTGGACCTGCTCCCTTAGGCTACTGTTGCTAGATTTTTTGAATGTGCAAAACCAGCAGGAAACCATTTATTCCCCATAGCATTCATTTTCTACCAATTTAGCTCCGTTAACCAGATTCGAATGCTATCAGAGGAACACCAGAAGCAATAAAGTACAGCAGTTAGACGAAATGAATTGTATCGATATGCTGCACTATAACAATATTTTCCTGAAGGCTTTGACTTCTCTTCCCGTGTTTTTCTCATTCATACCACATTCAACTCCTGATTTACTTTCTCCTAAATTATTTTTTACATTCCTTTATTTTTTTTTGCCTCTAAACTCTTTGTTCAGAGTCATTATCTGCAGATTTAGTAACTGGCACAGCTTCTATTTTTCAGATCTCCCATTCTTCTCTGAAAACAGTGCAAAAACTGCCAAGTCTTTTCCCATTTCCTTGATGGGTACCATTTTCCTTTTTTGTCTGTCCTTTACAGAATCACAGAATCACCCGGGTTGGAAGGGACCTCAAGGATCATGTAGTTCCAACCCCTCTGCCTGGCAGGGCCACCAAACATACACATTCAGATCAGGTTGCCCAGGACCCCATCCAACCTGGCCTTAAACACGTCCAAGGACGGGGCATCCACAACCTCCCTGGGCAGCCCGTTCCAGGGCCTAACCACTCTCCTAGTAAAGAACTTCCCCCTAACATCCAACCTAAATCTTCCCTCCTTCAACTTGGATCCATTTCCCCTAGTCCTGCTATTGTCAGCCCTTTTGAAGAGTTTACTCCCCTCCTGGGTGTAGGTTCCCTTCAGGTATTGATAGGCTGCAATGAGGTCACCCCGCAGCCTTCTCTTCTCCAGGCTGAACAAGCCCAACTCCCTCAGCCTGTCCTCATAGGGGAGGTGCTCCAGCCCCCTGATCATCTTAGTCGCCCTCCTCTGGACCCTTTCCAAAATCTCTATGTCAATGTCTTGTCTATGTCTTTAGTTGGCTTTGCTGCTGTGTTTGGTTTCAGCCCTCACAACGTGTTGAAAGTTCTCTGTATTTCTGCTGTTTTACTGCAGGTTCCTTCTTCCATGATGAAGAATGTACTCCCTGAAATGTGTTGCACTAGCATGTCAATAAGTGTCCCCGCTTCTCCCTCACCTTTTAGATATAACAGAGTCTTCCTGGGCTAATCTGTCAAGCTGCAGGCCATCTGCTTTAAAAGCTTTTCTTCCCAAACAGTTTACTTACACTGCTTGTACAACTTTGATACAAACTCCTTGTTGTTTTCCTTAACCTCTATCTTTTTGTGTTAAGGTTGTTTGGTGTTTTTTTTTTTCCTAAGTGAAAGAGAAGCATTCATGGGAAGTAAGTATTTAATGAATGATACCAAAACAGTGATATGTGGAAGCAAAACAGCAATCCACTGCAGTATGGCACAGCTTCGCTACAGCCTGTGCAGCAGCCAGTCATCGTGTGATTATCACTCACATGGGGCAACTCCACCACCACCTCTGCAAGCAATAAAACCATCAATTGGCTTTGTTCTTTTTGTTTCTCCCAGCTGGAGGATGATATTGTAGCCAAACCTGATTACATTCGAAGCATAGAAAACTTTGCTGCTGAACAGTCCCAAGAGTGGATGGTTCTTGAGTTCTCCCAGCTTGGATTTATTGGTAAGTATTAAGGCCTCAGCAGTTGTCAGTTTGTTCAAGCAGATGTCATTCAGAATTATGTTTCTTATATGGCAGGACTTGTATATCAGAACTTAACTGTCTCTTCAGGAAAGCTTCCACTGGAAGCCTTTTACTTTCTGTGCTCATTGCCTCTGTCTTTCTAATGCAGCACAGTCTAGTTGTTGGGTTCCTGTAAGAAGCAGTTTGTTCTGTATCAGGGCACTGTGTGCTCCTTCAGCTTTCTTTTCACAAATGGAATTTGCAGTCTGTAAAACATCTATTTTCTTTCCTTTGTGGAGCAGAACATGCAGCCCATATTGTGCTAAATTTTTTTTTTCTTTTTTGTATTTGTATTTTTATAATAGTAAGTTCCCTTTTACATTTTTTTTTCTTAGGTTACAACACGATTTACTTGTGATAACACCTGTAAGTGTTAGGTCAAACAAGGAAATCTAACAAAATCTGCTAATAAAAGCAGCAAGAATACTAAATGAATATTGATAGAGTTTTAAAGGCTTTTATTTAGGTCTTAACCTAAATATAGTCAGTATATAATTGCCATTGAAATCGCATGCCTAACGATTTGAGAGGTTGCTCAGACTTTTTCATCTGAAACACGGATAGAAACGACTGGCAGATTTATGTTGGAACCAGGATATAAGTGCATGCTTGTCTACTCACCTGGTTGACTGTGTGAGAATGTCTTCATGCATGGGATGGAGTTAAGTTCCAAAGCAGAAGCCTATGTAAAACTCCCATTGAACATCAGGATTGTGTCTGTGTGTTGAAGGCCATGGGTACTCCAGAACATGAAGCTGTTGAATGCTTACTGTGCAGCAATAAAAATACTGAAATATCCAACTTGTCTTGCTTTCAGGAAAGTTGTTTAAATCAGAAGACTTGCCACTTATAGTAGAGTTTTTTCTGATGTTCTATAAAGATAAGCCCATAGACTGGCTTCTGGACCACCTGCTGTGGGTCAAAGTGTGCAATCCAGAAAAGGATGCAGTAAGTATGTCTATGCGTTTATGAACGGAAGTAATACTCAGTCTCTGTCACGACACTATTTAGCTTCCAGAAGCAGCATGAAAACCTCTCAGTACAAGAGCTGATACAGGTCTGCATAGTATGGCACTGTGCTGGAGCCCACTAGGGCGTAGGAAGAGGATGACTTATAGAAATTTAGATTTTCATGTCAGAGTTGTTTGACATCTGTCAGGTCAGAATACGGCCAGTGCAAACTCCTATCTGCTGCAGCTGCTCACTTAGACAACCCTGCAACATCAAAGACGATTTTGAATATGTGACATTGAATACAGGACTGTCATTTCTCATAACTTTCCAATGACATCACTTCTGATGTTTTCACAAGTCAGCGCAGCATACAATCTTAAAAATGCAGTTCTGAATTTTGCATAAAATTTCCTTTCTCTCCAGCATCAGAGCATAAGTGTTTTACTTGTAATTTTTAATTGCCTGGGAAAAAACTTGATTCTTTGCCTGAAAACGAGACAAAACAGAGGGAAATGCGTAGACTGAAAGGATGATATTATACTGTTCACTGAAAATGAAAGAAACAGTTGTGTTGGTTGAATTGCAAAGGATAGCACTTATAGCATGACAGGTGAATTTGATGATATGTTAAGTATGATGTCCTTCTGCATTCTTTGGCCTTTGGTGCTGGTCGCTACTCACACTTCTCCTGTACAACAATACTATGCCACGTAGAAATGACTGGAAATTCTCCCATTATATTTTTAAGGTTCAAGATTGGTTTGATTAGTGTAGTCAGTCCCCACATGATGTCTTTGCACACATGGTATTTTTGTATTGATAAGGAAGAAGAGACAGATGGGAGTTGTGCAGAACAGTAGCCTAAGGAGAGCTGAACAACAGGCTTTCAGTTTTACTGTATAGCAGAGGTAACTTAGGGACAGCAGAAGTTACCTGATTTTACACTTCAGCAATGCCACTGAGGAGTCTCTATTCCCATTTTGTGCAGATAGGATTAAGCTTTGAAATCCTACTCTAGAGTCAGTCTAGATCCTTAAGTGCCTCTAATTTAGGCTCTTGCTTAAACTCTGATAAGAGTGAAAAAAGACATCGTTATGTTAATACCACCCATTCTAGATGTGTCTCACGTGTACCGACCTCAACTCCTACTAATTAAACATTTTGCTTTCGTTTCTGGAATGACTCTTCTCCCTTATACTGTGTATAAATCATATGTGAAACAATGCTATGTTCCTGAAAGGCAGGCAGTGTGAGCCTGTCCTGGCCAAACCAAAGCAGAGAAGCTGTCATTGAATTTCTAGTGAACTTCGTTATGGTGATTTCAATTTCAGTTGCTGTGCATGGCAAAAAAATAAAAATAAAAATGTTGAATCAAGCTAGTCTTGTGCTGCCCCTGCAAAGGAATGACCAGTGACGGAACAAAGCTAGGAACGAGCTAGGACTACTCACGTGCATACAGAAAATGGAGGCTGGGAGAATGAGAGGGATCCCAGCTGCTGTTCCTCCTGTATAAATACAATTGATCTGAAAGTGATTTGAAAGCTGGAGTTTCCTATAGATGAAGAAAAGGCAAGATGACAGAAATCCTCACACTTTCTCACTCTGGAGCAGCTGAGAGTGGTTGCTACTTGATCACACTGTTCCTCGTGGGAGGGTCAGCATGTACTGTGTTCTTACACTGTCTTGCTGAACGTCTGCTGTGGGCACACATAAAATACTTGGTTCTGTTAAGAGCCTTCCAGGTGTTGGTTTTTTGTTGTTTTTTTTTTTACTTTTTACTTTTAATTAGTACTTTTTTAACAACCAGAAATCCCCTGTGTGTTTTATTGTTTAAGCCAGTTGAGTGAGGATTATAATGTCTAGCATTGATGTAATTTATGCCACGTGTTTTCTTTTATAGAATTGAAAGTATGTTATTGAAGAGGTAAACACGTTATCCTCTCACATCTAAGTATGTAAAGACTGTGATGTAGAGGGGTTAAATGATCTTCTGAACTCATGCAATTATTTTGAGGCAGAACTGAGAGTCTTGGGGACACTAATTCTAACTCTTTGCACTGTTCCTTCTCATTATGCTTTATTAATTATTGCAAGATGTATGTTTCATTGTATCTAACCGTGATGCTTTGTGAATAGAGTGCAGCAATTTCATTTAAACAAATGATGAGCTGTCAGTCGAAAAGCAGGAAACACAGAAACTGGTACCAGTTATGGTTATTTAATTCCCTGGTATATGTCATGTCACAAAGTTTGTCTACACTGGAAAACAAGGATACAAATACAGTATCTAGGGGCTTTAAGGAGTTCTAGGATAAACAATAGATATGTGACATAGACTTTAGTACAGTATATTATAATAGTCTCATACATAGCAGAAAGAGCCAAAGCAGAAATGTAAGTGGAGTTTATCTCAAGAGGATTGGTTTTGGTCAAAGCAAAATCATATGGCAAGGCCAGGAGTTGAAAGAAAATTTGCCAGAAGCAGATTTTCGATCTGAGGTGTATTTTACGCTTGAGGTGTGATTGATGATATACAGGGCACAAATCCCTGAATTAATAGTGGTTGAGCCTGCAAATCTACATTGCTCCACAAGTGGAATTACAATGAGCTTATGTCTGGAAAGTGTATTTGAGATAAAATGTCTAGTAATCTAAGGATTACTCATGTATATGTAGGTAAAAAAAGACCTGAACCCATACACTGAGCTACGTAATGAAATTGCCCTATGGAAGTTAGCTAGCATCTCCTTTATTTAAATAAAATGTCACCCTCTTTTATTTTTTTTTCCAGGCACACTGTGAAAAGGAAAAGGCAAAGTTACGTATCCGTGCTAAGCCATCTCTCTTCCAGCATATGGGATTTCATTCATCACTGTCTGGGAAGATACAAAATTTGAAAGTAAGCGTAAGAAATGATTGCCATAGTTCCAAGTTATATGCTTGTGTTTTGGTTTGTTTCTCAGTTTGGTATCGAGCATTGCACCTTCAGCATTAGGTGGCACCTCCATATCCTAGAAATGCTAGCTTACAGTTCTGGGGGAGAATACTGTTCTGGCATCTGAATTGCAGATGGGGCATACTGCTTCTGTACAAACAGTCTTGGTCTCTGGTCTAAATACCTGCATCAGTCAGAGCAGCCTGATGTGTAGAAACCCTCTTCGCAGCACAAGTTTTCATGTGCTGTACAAACATAAATGGTTATGGTGGTCTGTTTTGGCTTAATAGTCAACAATACCAATGCAAAGGATTATTGATAAGAGAAGTATACTGGTAGGACAAAGGCATGATTCTACTGATTGCAGTAGATTTGTATGGAGAGTTTGGAGCGCAAACAAGTATATCTGCCAGGTATTTGATAAGGATGAGCAGCGAAGCACCAGATTGTGGGTGCCATTCTGTTAGTGCCATTTAGACTGCTCACAAGATCAGTGTTAGATCAGACTAAATGTTTAGGTAGCCTCTGCTATTGAATGTTCTGGTAGAAGGCATAGTAGATAACCACGAAATAGCCTACGCTCAAGAAGTTTCTTTTACTGATCCGTTTACAAAATAACATTGAATCACAGTGATAACACTGAAATGAATGTTCTTTTTCTATCACAAAAAAAGATTGTATGTTTTTAAAGTAAGTGTTTTCTGGAATAGCTACCCATGGTAATTCAAGAACTTGGAGCACTGTTTTCATCACACTTTTAGGGGTGAAATTACATTTCTTATATCCAACAGGATAAAGACTTTGGCAAAAGTGTGCTACATAAAGCACATAATAATCCGCCTGCAAAACTGGCTACAAGTCTAAGAATATACCAGCAATATACCTTGGAAAATGTTTATGAAGGAAAAGGCTATTTTTGGGCTTCATCTCCAATGGCTGGGGACTATATCAGCTTCACCTTTCTGAAGCCACTAAAAGTAGAAAAGTGAGTATTACATGGTATGGATTATGACAGACTGCATATATACAGTTTGGGTACTGAGTCCGTTCAAAATCACCAGAGTTCAACTGTTTGCATAAAGCATAGCCTGATCACTGAGGATTTAAAACTTGAGGATTTGAAATCCAGGATTTGTTTCGTTGGCTGTACTGAATACATCTGTACTGCCTATAAAAACGCTTTGGTCACAGCCAGACATGTAACTTAAGACATCTCTATGAATAACCAAGTTTCACCTTAAATGTTTTTTTCTCATTCAGAGAGATCCTGCCACCCAATATGCAGATCCTTGTTTTAGGCTTTGGCGGTGCTTTTGCTCCTTAACAAGTGTTGTGGATTATTTAGAGCACCTGAACTGATCTGTGTCAATAAAGAGGGGGGGTTCTCTTGGCATTTAGCATATGCAGTTCTGAGATGTTTCATGTCCCTGTATTCCAGAAGCCCCAACTTACCTAGGCCTTAGGATGATAGGAACGAATTCAAGGACAGAACTTCCTTAGCTATTTAAACGTGGAAAAATGAATCGACTCAGACTTTGAGCACTGAAAAGAGGGAATGCTTGTATTCCCTCTTTCCCAGAGAAAAATGGTTTTAATGCTTGTTTTGTTTAAAATGAAAATATCCTAGTATGGTTTGGTAACGCATCAGAAAGTTTCAATGCCTGTTTCTGTTCTCTCTAGCCTACAACTAATTGAAGTGAAGGTATTTCAGAGGTTTCTTCAGAGAAGGAAAATATTACTTCTCTAGAATTTCCCTAACGTTTAAAGTTACTCCAAATCATATGCCTTTTTTTTTTTTAAATCAGATACTTTTTTAGAAGTGGAAATATGGATTACCCTGGTGATATACTATATGACACTACTGTGGAAGTGTTGCCAGCTGATGTAAGTCTCTTACTTCCAACTGCAATATATAATACATGATTTCATTTTACGGATGATATTTGGCCTGTAGGATCGTGTTCTAGAAAGTGCTGCTGAGGTTTTATTGTTTTGTTTCTTACAGGAAGCTGTAAGGAAAGTACTGGTTGGCAACAGAAGTAAATTTAACTACACTGCAACCAAAGATGGATATTTAAAGATAGGTAAATAGTTCATTGTTGCTTTAAAAACAGACATTTTTTCTTCCATATGAAATGGTTTGCACTTGAGAATTTCATTAGCTCTGTAAGGAATGCAACTTTCCAGTGTAGAAACTCGTAAGGGATAGGAACCCCTTGTGCTATTGTGTGTTGTAGTATGAGATGTTGCACCTATTTTGTTTTGATTAATGAAGGGCCGTAGCTGCGGTGCCCAAAGGCAAGGCATCTAATCACAGAACGACTGATGTCGGAAGGGCTCTATAGCAATCGTCAACAATGAGAACAACGCAGCCTCCGCAAGGTTTTTAATAGGATAAGTGTTTCTGGTTTGGATTTTGCAGCCTTAGCTAAAGAAAAAGGAGTTCATATTGGTTATGGTGAAGCATAACACATTGCGTTTTGGCACACAAAGTTCCCCTTCAGAGCAGTGCTTGACTGAACTGCAGATTCACCAGGTATCTGCCAAGGCTTGTTGCCTACTGTTACCTGAACTAAAATGCCATTATGTGAATAAAAATGGTCCACTGGGAGACATGCTTTCCTTCCACTTTTCTTCTGTCTGTTCTGTCGCGTAATTGCAGTTTTTTCCTAATGAACCATTTTCAGTTCATCATCACTTCTTGTTTGCTTTAATCTGTATCTTACCCTCACCTCCCCTTGGTTGTTTCAATCTAATGAAAGATCCAAAACCAAATGCTGTCAATTCACAGTTCTACGTGCAGTTCACAGGATGTGAATATCACACATGGAACGAGTGTTTTTCATTTGTCTGTTTCATTTGCCAGTTTGACAAGGTTAGTTAAAAAGTGTAGAGCTGATGAAGGAGTGTATCAGAATTGATACGTGTTTCCTTGTATCTCTTTCTAGAACAACTCCTCAGGAAAGCTCTTTCTTGTTATTTATAAGCATTGCCCTTCAGTGGCTATAGTTTGACCTTTTCCAAACATTTTCCCCTCACGTTCTAGAGTTATTTCTTAATGTAGAACTTACACATAAGTTCACTTAAAAGTGCGTTTTAATCTAACAGGGACTTGTAATTATGCTTTATTTAGGGGCTTTTGAAAATGGAATTGCAGCAGGCAATATCGATCCATCAGTAGGAGAAATACTGGCTATTCGTTTATTAGTCCATTCTGATTCCCCTGTTTGGGCAATACTGAGTGAGGTATGTCTGTTAATAAAAGCTTTAGTAGATTGATTTCAATTTCTCTTATGGCATAGAGTTGATAGTCACTAGTTTTTATCTAATGTGGAGTTGGATTCTCTGTCAAAAAAGTGGAGAACTATATTAATTATTAAGTGCATGAGAATTTATTTCATAGAGAAAGTGCTGAAATGGAATAATTGACCATTATTTGCAGTGCTGTAATACAGCCACTAGAATTTGGGTGATGACAAACCAGAGGATTCCACCATTTTGGATATTAATAATTACTGTATGCAAATATTTTCAGATGAACACGTGGTTGGTTTGTTGTTGTTTTTCCTGCAAGTTTCAACCAAATATCTGAATGTGTCTGAGCCTATCAGTGGAACACAATCACTGACAGTTGCTATAGTCATACTTGGAAGTAAGAAAAAATACACTTTAGAAAATATGGCCTATGGCTTTTGGATTTTTGTTGTTTTTTTCAGGTACTTTTCAAGATGTCTGAAAACTGAGAACTGGAAGAAGTATACTGTTGACACGTTACTTGTCACAGGCTTGTTTTGAAGACTAATCTAACAGCAAAAAAAAACCTGAGAGGATACATAAAAATCCAGACCCAATACTGTGTATTGGCAGCGTGGAGATCATTGTTAAAAACTTGTAAAAATTATTAAATCCTTATGTAACAAATATTAAAAGCTATGCAAAACCTCATTATGTTAGAAACTTCCATAAAATGCTGTTAAGCTGTTCTGTACAAAAATTGTCTCAGTTGGACAGCATTACATATCACTGTAAGCAATTGACATTACAGGCAATCTCAGGGACAAAACAGGACAGTATATTTCTAGTTCACTAGAACTAAATATATGAACATATGGGGGGAATATTAAGGACATGGTTTGCAACTGCATTAAGAACACTGGTCAGTTTTGAAGGGAAACTAGAACTGAAGGAAAAACTGTCAGTATTTCATGCAAGTACTTACAACATTTCACCAGAGAAAGGATTAACTTAGCAATATGGAAGTGGGTCTCAAACATACCACGTTTTAGCCTTAATGTAGCAAAAGGTATGTTTAGTTTTATTATTTTTTAATGGAAATCGCTTATTAGCTACCATGTGAATAACTTGAAAATCAAAGAGGTATTGTACAGAGGCTTGTACAACTTTTCTGTGAATTGTGCATTGAATTAACTACAGGAAATAATTGGTGTAACACGTGTAACTATATTTTTGTAGGAAGAATATCTATAATTTAAATAAAATTTTGTATCCTGCCATTTGATAATCAGTATGTCCTGATACTTCTATGCTGGTCACGAGCCGAAACTAGGCACAAACTTGAAAATAAATGGCAAACTGCAGTAGTCTCACTTGAGGTGTTTTTGGGAAACGACACCTTGAACATCCATCTGTGATGTGCAGACTTCATTTATCACTTTTTTAGCACCTGAAGCTCTGAAAATAGTTTGGTAACTTAAAATATTCTTGAAAGTACACATACGTGTGTTTGGCTCCACACATGTACGTATGTATTTCGTGGACCAGGTATTGCAGCCTTCACTAGGTTAAAAATGTAGTGCAGTTTAACAATTAATGCAGTAATTTCAAGTACTTAAAAGTACACAGAGGGAAACTTTATTAGCCAAAAACATTGACACTCAAAAGGGTTTGGTGAGACCAGTGGTCAAACTACAGCCACTGCAATCACAGAACACACTTCCCACTACTTTAATGTAAATGAGCCTTGTAAATGTTCAGAAGTAAACAACGAATTCCTACATACACGCTGTTTAGTAAAATTTTGCTGAGTCCTATGCTTTCCTGTGCTTTATGGAGGAAGAGATTTCTTGCAGTGTCTGTGGAGCCGTGGCTCAACTGTATGATGAAAAGAACCTCAGGAGAAGGACTCTGAATTTTCAGTGAAGGACTGAATCACAGACTGGCCAGGGTTGGAAGGGACCTCAAGGATCATGAATCTCTGACCCCCTGCCACACGCAGGGCCACCAACCTCCCCATTTAATACCAGACCAGGCTGCCCAGGGCCCCATCCCACCTGGCCTTGAACACCTCCAGGGACGGGGCATCCACAGCCTCTCTGGGCAGCTGTTCCAGCACTTCACCACTCTCTCTGTAAAGAGCTTCCCCCTGTGACATCCAACCTAATGTTGGATAACCTAAACTGACTGTTAAGTAAGTAGTGCATGTTATAGCACCAGTAAGTTTAAGGCAATGGAGTGTAATAGAAGTACAATTCTCCTCAAAATTAACTTCTTCTATTACTCTAAGCCACACATTTGTTGGCTCTCTGATCTGTTACACAAACTAAGATTCCCCTCTTTCAACTTTATTGTTTTTTACATAAATATTACTTATTCCAGATGAACCATTCACAGATGCCTTACAACAAGCAGTAGGATAATCCTGCAATAAGCAGAGCTCTTAAAATCTCCAGATGCTTCCAAAAGGATGTATGTGTACTTCAAGCTGCAAGGACAGTTTTCATCTTTTTTTTCATGATGGATTGCACAAGAATATTCCTTGGGTATTTTTTTTAGCTAGAGGTGTCTAAAGACTGAAGCTTGTGTAGGAGTATGGTGCCATTTTTGAAAAGTACAGTAAAGAAGGATTTGAATTAAGGTTTAACAGAGCCTTTGGAACATTAGCTACTCCTTAATAAGAGAATAAAGTACGTGGCTTTTCTATGTGCACCACACAGAGGGTGCTGATGCACTGTAACAGGTTGCCTAAGGAGGTTGTGGATGCCCCATCCCTGGAGGCACTCAAGGCCAGGCTGGATGTGGCTCTGGGCAGCCTGGTCTGCTGGTTGGAGACCCTGCACATGGACCGGGGTTGAAATCAGAAGATCATTGCAGTCCTTTTCAACCCAGGCCATTCTATGATTCCATGATTCTGTGTGATAAATACTGTATAAACACACTGTGTTTAAGCTGTGATGTTTACATTCATTTTTGGAGCTTGTAGTTGAAACAATCCACAACACTCTAAAGTTTTGATTCTATAAAATACAAATAGAATCAATTGAAGTTTGAAGCTTCTGCATTAGTTTACAGCAACCCTGGAAGGCAGAATGTCAAAAAAAAAATACAAGCATTTACATTTATGGTTCATTGTGCATGCTCTCATGTTAACTCCCAACAGTTCTGAGGGATTTAGGCTACTTAGCAAATTAATATGTGGTAGGCATAAACCACAGTAAAGCAAGCATTGTGCATCAAAGGCCAACATCCAGCTCAACCAGCAAAACAGTGAAAGATTTTGCTGAGTTAAAATATAACACAAGGCACTGCTTTTGTCTATGCCACATGCTGCACATTTGAAGATATTCCTGCTGTACCTCATGATTTAAATGGGCTTAGCCAGTACTGCTGCCAGAATTCTTGAGTTCAAGCTGAGCCAAGCCAGAACATCAGTGGGGGCAGCAACCCCACACCTCTGGTGTTCTGCAGAGCCGGGTGAGTGCTGAATGGAATTCATACAACAGCTTTGCTGCTGCTGAAATGGGGTTGGATTGCTTGGCAGTCTCTACTTAGAGGAATGGGTTTTGTTCATTTGAGCAAGATGATTCAATTTGTGGGGGAAAAAGAGGCCTTGTGTACAGAGTGGTAAATGATGGAAGGTGTGTGGTGTGGTTGACACACTGAAAGGAAGGGATGCCATTCAGAGGGACCTCAACAGAAAAGAAAGATGGGCCTGGGTGAACCTAATGAGGTTCAACACAGCAAAGTGCAAGGTTTTGCACTTGGGCCGGAGGAATCCTAGGCATCTAAACAGACTGGAAGGAGTGGTCCTTGAGAGCAGCCCTGCAGAGAAGGACCTGGGGGTCCTGATGGATGAAAAGTTTACCTTGAGCCAGCAGTGTGCCCTCGCAGCTCGGAAAGCAAATGGGATCCTGAGCTCCATCAGAAGAGGGGTGGCCAGCAGGGACAGGGAGATGATTGTCCTCCTCTACTCTGCTCTTGTGAGCCCCATCTAGAGAGTACTGTGTCCAGGTCTGGAGCCCCCGGTACAAGACAGGGAGCTGTTGGAGAGGGTCCAGGGGAGAGCCACAAAGATGGTCAGGGCACTGGAGCACCTCCCCTACAAAGACAGGCTGAGGGAGCTGGGCTTGTTCAGCCTGGAGAAAAGAAGGCTGCGGGGTGACCTTATGGCAGCCTTTCGGTACCTAAAGGGAGCATACAAATAGGAGGGGAGTCAACTCTTGGAAAGTGTAGATAACAGCAGGACAAGGGGAAATGGTTTTAAGTTGAAGGAGGGAAGATCTAGGTTGGATGTCAGGGGGAAGTTCTTCACAGAGAGAGTGGTGAGGTGCTGGAACAGGCTGCCCAGAGAGGCTGTGGATGCCCCGTCCCTGGAGGTGTTCAAGGCCAGGTGGGATGGGGCCCTGGGCAGCCTGGTCTGGTATTAAATGGGGAGGTTGGTGGCCCTGCATGTGGCAGGGGGGTTGGAGATTCATGATCCTTGAGGTCCCTTCCAACTCTGGCCATTTTGTGATTCTGTGAACTGCCATGATAAGCCAATTTAAATTCCCAGTAACCATGATGGTAACGTTTGGCTGGAAAAGAAAAAAAAAACATACTGCTTTCAACTTCCAGCCTAACTGAATGGATTTTGCCATTCCTTCAGTAATTTTTCCTCATGCAAGGCACAGCATTTAAGCACCCACCAAACAGCGGACGACACACTCGCTTCCCGCAGCCGCGCAGCCTTCCGCCCGCCGCCCCACAGCGCTCAGCGCCGTCGCCGCGGCGAAGCCCAGTGGCAGCGCGGAGCCCGCCGCGGGCCGAGCGGCGATTGGCGCAGCCACCTGCCCGCCCCCCATCCCTCCCTCCCGCGGAGCTCGTGCGGGTCGCGATTCGCGCGCGGATTGGCCGGGGCGGAGCGGCTCGAGCACCTGCTCCTCAGCGCCCGCCGCCCTGCGCTCCGCCAGCGCGTGCGCGGCTAGAGCTGCGCCGGCAGCGGGATCCGTGCTAAGCGCCGGCGGGGCGCAAAGGGGATCTCGCCGCCGGTAATCCGACCGCCGCGGGGACGGGGCTGCGCGGGGCGGCCGCTTTTCGCCCCGCGGGGATTGGATGCCGGCGTCGGGCCGGCGCGCAGTGCGTCGCCTGTTTTATAACTGGGGCGGGGGGGGGAACGGCGGCCATGAGGGGAAGGCGGGCGGGGCTGCTGGGCGCCGGCAGTTAGGTGAGGGGCAGCGCGGCAGCGGGAATTGTGCTGCCCGTGCGTTACTGCGGGTGGAGCCGAGCCGAGCCCCGTGGCTCTGTGGCTATGGGTGGAGGGGGAGCGGGTGTGGAATTGAGCTGAGAAGGGCCCGTCCAGCCTGCCCTCGTCGGGAGACGTGTCCTTGTACTCGGAACGTTCCTTCTTGCTGTTTCTCCCGTCGTGCTGCTGTCTTATGTGTGTCCCACGAGCGGTGGCTCATTACTTGAGGTGTAATGTTGTGCTGGTGTTGCAGTGCGGTTGCTGTTCCCTAGGGCTTGTCTCAGAGCAGCGCTGCTGCCTCGTAGGTCTCTTCTGGTACATGGATGTGCTGTGGGTACCCGTGTTCCCACGGTAGAGTGACCGAGCTATGCAAAAACAGCTTGAACTTACAGGTGTGGTATTCATAGCTTTTTGTATGTTAACTCATCTTCAGAATCCGTTGATCTTCCTTATTATTTGCACGCAATTTCAAGACCAGAAGCTATTAGGCTTAGTTTAAAGGTTTTGCATTGGAGGTGCTGAAGGAATTAAAAAACAAAACAAAAAAATGTAATGGTGATGTTTGGGACAAGAGAGGAAAGCATAGAGACAAAGAATGGCATACAATAGGGCCGCCGCGCCAAGAATGGTAACGTAATTTAATGTACTTTCCCCAAAACTACAAGTCTGTCCTAAGGAGTGAGGCTTTTATGGCATAGTTGGCATGCAGGCATGGCACTGGTGCATATAACAGCTTACTTTGGGCTGTAGATACAGTCGGTACAGACAGTATGAAGTGAACAGATCTTAGCAGGAATAAGGAATAAAATGAAAAAGTTTTCTTTTTGGACAGCCCTGAAGGGATGTGGGTGTTTTGTTTGTTTGTTTCGCCTTGGTACCGATCTCTGTTTGTATTGCTTGGTGGAACTAGCAGGTTGATAAATGAGCATGGAAGAATTATCATTTTGCTTCCAATGTTTGCATTGCTTGGTGGATCTGATAAAGCCAGAGAGAAAGAAAAGGGCTTTGATTTCCAGAAGAAATTGCTGTGATATTTAGAGTTTGCTGCGATAAATAAATGATCG